CAAAGATCTAACTTTTAATTGAATTTTTAGGCACTTTTTTATGTAAACATGCATAATTTCTTCCTATATTTTTAGCTAAATCTACATGAAATGCCAAAGTTAAGGCAATCATAAAATAGTATTATTTCACCAAAAAGATGCTGTGTGGCATGTCCTTAAAAACCTTAAGAAAACTGCTCAAGTGAAGCACAAAGATAGTAACAGTCAATCTACAGCATAGGGACAGTGTCTGAAAGTGTCCTTAAGAATATAAAAAAATCCACCAAGGACCTGACACATGCCCCAAGAGCTACATCTGACCCTTTCATTGATCCAGCTACTGATACCTCATCAGAAACGGTCTCAGGAGAAGGGTTGCTGTCAAGAAGCCATTCTTAAGAAAGGGAAAGGCTGAGGTATGTCAAATTACATAAGAACTGCACCGAAAATCAGTGGCAACAGGTTTTATGTTTATAAATGTTTGGTTCAAATTATCATCAGTTTGACAAGAAGCATGGTACATTGAGTGTCACAGCTATAAAACAGTGGAGGAGCTGTCATTTGGGGCTACATCTCAACCATATGCTGTAGCTGTAGCTTCTAAATAGTAACTAAGCAGAGGCAGATGCGATGGTAGTATGATTTTTCTCACCTTTGGAAGACGTGGACCGAACATAGCATATTTCCCCAAATTCCTAAAATGTACCTTTACACATCAGACAGTGTTATGAAGAGCAAAGTCATCAACTACTTGTGATGGATGAATTAGCAAACAGACAGAATAGTAAACGTGTAATTTCCATGTACAGTCTGACATTTTGTCCAGCCTAATCAATTTCCATGGAAGATGCGATTTTGTGTAATTTAATCACCAGAAACCAATGCATCCATCTGAATCTAAAGTCATTTCAAGTCAACAGTGATGTCGTCCCTACATGTAAGCTTTGACAGATTGGAACAAAGACATGTAAAAGCATGTTATTAGTATTAATATTGTGTAGTAGATGTGCCTCAGGAGAGCTGAAAACATCAAACAGCAGAAAATAGCCGATCGTACTGACATTCATTTTCCAAACAATACTTTTTAGGAAAAGAAAAATTTTAGATTCTGAATATAATGAAGGTGCAGAGGTGTCTGACAATAACCAGGATTCACCAGACCAGACGTTCTTCATATACATAACTGGATTCATTTATTAATTTTATTTAATTTTGTCATTATTTCAATTATTTTGATGATGAGCCCACATTCTGTGAACAGTGCCCTCTCTGTTTCTCTGCACATCTACTAGAACAGCTAACAGGCATTGCGCTGCCACAAAGTGATGGTTTAGCATGTGGGTTATTCTCTCTTTGTGTTTTTTTTTTTTTACCAGATCCTGCCCGTGTGGTAAACATGCCATCAGTCATCTACGCAGCCATTGGTCTGCCCGGCTTCATTCGCTGTCCTGTAGATGCCAACCCCCCTGTAACTCTGGTTAAGTGGAAAAAAGATGGCCTCCCTCTGCGGATAGATAAGGTGAGCCGGCGCTTTGCTGCTTTTTTCCCTTTCTTGAACTTTTCCTAACTTTAGACTGGAAATGAATGCTTCATTCCTGCTGTTGTGATTCCATATTAAGTGCACTTCTCTGTTTCTTACTCAAGAGAAGAGATTCAGGATTTTTTAAATCATATTTACTGACAACCATCACACTGGTAATCTGTCTACTCCTTCTTATCCGCTGAGCACAATTTCTCCATCCTTAGTACCCTGGTTGGAGTCAAATGGAAGATGGGAGCATCCGTGTGGCAGAGGTGACGGAGGACTCTCTTGGCACCTATACCTGCATGCCTTACAATGCCCTGGGTTCCATGGGATGGTCGCCTCCTGCTCCCCTGGTGCTAAAGGTACATATATTTAGGCCACATATGTGAATACTCAGCACTTCCTTCTTCTGGCATTTAAAGGTTCACAGATAGGATTTA